GAGGGACATGGGAGGGAGGGAGGGAGGGAGGGAGGGACATGGGAGGGAGGGAGATAATCAGGAGCAGCTGTTTGTGTACAGCAATCACGATGTTGACTAGCACGACCTGCCGGTGAATCAGAGAGGATCCGAGAAGGAGGAGGGAGTGAGGAGGGAGGAAGAGAGAGGGAGGAGGAAATTTACCCCAGCGATGAGCACGTAGGAGATGAAGAAGAAGGCGACCTGAAGCGAACAATAATTCAACATGCTGCTTGCCCTGCTTCCTTCTTTCACCCCTTCCTCTCCTCCTTCTCCTCACCAATCTGTCAATCTTCCCGTCGATGAAGAGCGTTCGAGTCACTGACGATGCCCAGCTGTCGCCGGTCACGATCTTCAAGCTTGTCAAAGTCACCCTGTCATTGGAGCTTTGGAGCACCTGGAACATGGTGAAGAGGGAGGCGCTGAAGGTGCCGAAGAACTGCGGCTGTATGTCGCCGAAGAGGTGGGTGGCGAGGACGGCGTAGACGCAGGTGATGAGCAGCTGGATCATGAAGGCGTTGGCCAGTGGGATGAGAGCAGCCCCGAGGGCCCCCATGATGCGGTTGAGGTCGTGAAGCCCCTTGAAGATGCGGATGACGCGGAACATGCGGAGGGTGCGGAAGAGGGAGACGTAGCGGAGGGTCTTGGAGTAGATGACGTAGGAAAGGATGGAGAGGCAGACGATGAAGACCTCGAAGACGTTCCACATGTTGGAGTAGAAGGGCCTGAAGAAGTCGGAAGAGCGCGAGAACAGATTGACGGCCAGCTCCTGCCGGTGTCAAGTCAGGAGGGAGGAGGAAGAGGGCGAGGGCGAGGAAGTGGTGGTGAAGGAGAGGAGGAAGAAGAGGAGGAGGAAAATAAGGACAGGGAGAGTGAGGAAGCGAAGGCAGACTGCAATGGCCTTACAAAGGCGAAGAAAAGCTGATCATATAGGTCAGCACGAGCAGCAGAGGAGGGGAGAGGTACCGTGATGACGAAGTTGAGGGTGGAGAGGATCTGAAATCTGTTGTCCGACTCGTCTGGCTGGAGTTCAGCCTGCACGCAGTCGATGGAGAAACTGGCGATGATGGAGAAAGCGATGATGGCTTGTACCATCATCGACTCGTAGAGCTGCAGCGTCTTGAACCTGAACCAGATGAACTTGTTCCCCCCGTACTCGCTCAGCTCGTGCGCCCTCTTCCTCTTCAGCTGCTCCTCTCGCACCGCGTGCTGCAGCGTCAGGCACCACGACGTCACCTCCTCCTCCGTCGAGGCGCTGAACACGTAGGACCGCCCGCTGTTTCTCCCCTCGGGCAGAGTTTGAATCACGAAAGAAACCTCGTCCTCCGCTCCGCTGTCGTCGTCCACCTCCTTGACAAATGCGATCTCATGCAGGGGGATCCAGTCAGCGACGCTGTCTGACGCTCCCAGTCAGCGACGCTGTCTGACGCTCCCTGCAGGAGTGCGAGGTGCTCGAGGCAGAGCACGAGATGCTGCTCGTGCCAGCTGACCAGCGCTGCCACCTCCTTCTTGAGGAGGCGACCATGCTTGATCCACTGCTGGGATGGGGGCAGGACGAACTTCTGCTCGGCATCCTCTGCTGTCACGGTGATGGTCCCCAGGTCCTTGGAGCCCAGATCCTCTACCTCCCCCATCAACTTGCACTGCGTCACTCTCTTCTCCACTATCCATTGAATCTCCGTCTCATAGCGCCCAAGGAAGTCGTGCTTTGACAGCTCCTGCACGTTGTCCTTGTCGATGTCGTAAATTTCGAACAAGATCTGCTGACTCAGCGAGGGGACGTAGTCGACTTCTATCTTCTTCTTGAACCTGCCGACTGCCGTCACTCTCCCTCCTTCCTTAGCGGTCACATGAGCACCTGGGGTTGAGGTTGTTCTTTATCCTCTCCGTCCTCCCAATCTGCGACAGCGTCGCTCAGTGAGAGTGACTTGCGGGGATCACGATCACCTCCTTCCAGATCCCTTTCTTGTTCTTCGTGTATACCTTTGTTGTATCACCACCTGCTGCACAAGGAGAGAGAGAGGTTGGAGCTCACCACACAGGATGGATCCGATTTGGAGAGGAAATCTTTGTTGACCAGGTTGCTGGAGTCTTTGTCATCCTCATCACTCATCAGCCTCCTTCGACTCACTCGCACTGGATGGTGAGAAGGAGAGCAACCGACCTCCCCGATGACCCTTCCCCATGTTGCTCTCCTCCTCCTCCATTCGTGGCCTCGAGCTCAGACTCGCGCCTTTCTGCAGCAACGGGAGGCATTTGCCTGCAAACATTCTAGTGACTGTCTTCCTGCACCCTCTGCTTGGCCTCGCGGTGAGAAGGGAGGGAACGTAAAGGGTGAGGAAATTCAAACGAGACATCTATGATACAAAACTGGACCAGAGACATTGAGTGGGAATGGGGGGAGACAGGTGAGCCATGGCGAAGGATAAAACTGATCCTTGGGAAAGAAAGTGGGCAAACGGAAATGAACGGTAGGTAGGTAGGTAGGTAGGGGAAGGAGGGAGGGAGGGAGGGAGGGAAGGGAAGGGAGGGAGGGAGGGAGGGAGGGAGGGAGGGAGGGAAGGGAGGGAGGGAGGGAGGGAGGGAGGGAGGGAGGGAGGGAGGGAAGGGAGGGAGGGAGGGAAGGGAGGGA